TTATTTATCTTGTTTTGTGTGCATTAATGTTACTGATCATTTCAATTATTGTCTTGTTTTTTAAATTTCAAATCAAGTTTCATCATTTAAGTTTGCACATTCTAGATTTTGCTCTTCGAAAAAAACTTTTATGTCTGAATGAAATGTGACGATAGAGATTAAGGCTGGCGGCACTATGAATTTTGATCTCTATCGTTACAATAACGACTATGTGTCGAAAGCTGAGGCGGTCCGAACATTGTGAGTGGAAGAGTCCCTTTGCCTCCCTGACTTATTACCATGAAGATCATGCGACAACACTTCTCAGGCGAACAGTAGACAATTTTAATTTAAAACATGGAAACATTTTTATACAGCAATAGTGTTTTGAAAAATTGACACTTTTCTAGAAATGTTAATACAATATTACCACTAAATAATAAACAAGGAACACATGAATACCAACTTATGTATTATTACATTGAGGATTAAAAGAGGGTACGCCAAAGAACCCGTTAGATGGAGTGTTGCACAACGAGCAAATGACGGGTAACGTAGACATCGCTTTCCTTTTTTCTCGACAGCTGGCGTGGAAGGCGAATTGTCAACATCAACTGTAATACTAAAGGAGCTACGACCGTTTGTTTCTATGAGTCATGACTAAGTTGCGTAACGTGTTGTTTTCTGTCAGCTGTAATCGACTAAACATCGATCTGAGTGAAAGAGACACCTTGCTCCTGTGGCTTTATAGTTTTTAGAATTGACTCAGGACGTGAGAGTTGTACTGTAAGTTAACAGTAACAAACTTCGTTAGCTAGTTAGTATTTTTTCATTCAGAATGACAATAGGTTTTATTTTTAATAATTTTATATTTTTTAATATTAAAAAACAGTATTAAAATTTTTTTCATTTCGCAAAAAGTACTATTAACTCTTAACGGATCACTTAACGAACCACGAAACACTTTTACTTACTGGGTCCAATGCCGCATATATGACGATAAAAATCGTTTTATTATTTTTATCACTGTTATTTTTATAATATTTACAATTAATACATTAAGTATTCTGCTAGGTCACTTCTGAGAATTTGTTTCCGCTTATTATTTATGCTACGGTATTTATTGGCGGTAAGTAAACTTAAAATATTGTACTTCTGGTCCGTTAAGAGTTAAATCTATTTCAAATGCAACTTATTAAAAACCAAATGGAAGTGTAAATGAAAGAAGAACAGAAATAGAAAAATAACTGAAGAAAAAATCCAACACGACGGCCTCTGCTCAACTGGCAATCGTAAAAACGAAAACAAGAAAAAGTGATTGATCAATAATAAAGGTCAAACCTCGAGTATATCCGTGGCAATTCCTCTATCCCTTAAAGTGGAGCACCTAGTCGTCTGAATCGGGAAATTTATAGGGAAAGCCTCGCTTTGTTGGATGATCTGTTCCAGGGTCGTGGGCGGCGGTGCAGAAACATCCAGGCATTTCTTAAGCAGTTCCTTCGTGTCCTCGTCAATAGGCACGCCGTTCGGTGTGCCTAACGTGTTCTTCCAGGATATATTCGGTGCCTTCTTCAGCAACGCTTGCTGCCTAACGTCCTCCATTTGTGAACGATTCTACAAAACCAAAAGCACAGGTTTAAGATATATATGTACAAACTGTGCATACAATGTATTTTTCTGCCTACTGTTCTGAAATGCTAACACCGTCAAAAAAGCAACAAGAAAATTGTGTTTGAGAGAACAATTTTAACAGTGTTGTCGGCTCTAAAAATTACGTTGTTGTGGAGTCTGGAGAGTTGCATGTTCGCACATCTCACTTTATCGCATTCCGTATTCTTTACGTTCTTTGTTGAGCGACTCAGTCAATAAGAAAGCGTGTCAAAACTGAGCCGGCAAACTAGTACCGGGCTGAGCACCCCGAATAACCGTTTCCCTTTGCACATGTATACTTTTAAACCTTTGGCCGCTGTTACACTCGGAAAAGACAAACAATATGTATGTATTGTATCTCTGTCCCTAGCGATCTTTGTAAAAATATTTTATTTCGTGTCAACGATTCATTAAAATTGATATTTTACTGTTATTCATTTTATTTCGAAATGCAATGGAGGATAAAAATATTCTAATGTGCTAATATTCATATTCTACTGAGTAACGGAATAAGGAAAAGTATACATGCATATGTATTCCATGAATTATCTATTACAAACATTGCATACAGTAACTGGAATATGTTCATCTAATGAACATTTATTCGAACTTTATTGATTTCGTTTACTTTATTGATTGAAATTTCGATGCATTTCCATTTTTTAACCATAGAGAAACAAATGGAAAATACAACATGCACGATGCACTAATCATTGTCAATCGCTCACATATTTAAATAATAACGATTTCAGCATGCCTATTGTTCTCACTCTCTCAAGTAGCACCCGGGCGTGTGAAAGAGAGAGTAATGAACATGGAAACAATATCTTGAAAATTTTAGTTAAAAAATTATTTTTATTTCTAATTTTTCTGGTAGATTAATGCTGTCTTTGTCAACGTAACTATTTTTAATGCCAAAAAAGGTATTACAAAGTTTTTACTTTGACTCAGAGATCTACTCGTCCTGAATTGTTTCGTTGTACGCAATATTTACTAAATATCATGTTCATACGAATAAATGAATTTATTTCATTCATCTTAATCGAATTTTGAAAATCGAGAATAAGATTGAACGTACTGATACAATTAATATAATATTCAGTTTCAATGGTTGTATTATATTTCTTACGAAACTACAAAATAAAGTTACTCTTCGCGCGTAATTCAATAGAATGTCAAAGTACTAAGGTAAAAGCACTAATAGTTCATCAGTTAAAAAAAATTCTCTGCGTGAATAATAGTAAATGCTTGTTCCTTTATTAAACAAAATGCTGTTTGAACTTCTTACATTATGTGACAAAGTGAACTTTTTCGAAATAGTTACATTGTCCAAATTTTATTGACATTTTTGAGAATTCACTACTTGCGTCAAAAGTTGACCATCCTTAAAAACGAGAAAACTAGGAATTGACCATATGTTAGTTAGTAGTTGACCATTTATAGTAAAACTAAGAACACTAGAGGTGATTAATTTAATATCGTTTATTTGCAACGATTGTTACAAACTATTGTACAAGTAAAAAGACAAATAAAAATGAAAAGAAGTTAATTTCGTGTTGAAAGCAGTTTGCCGATGTGTGGCCAGATGTGTTTGAGCTTTTTGAAATCTTCGATTTCGTAAAAGATTATCTTAATTTTGGAGATAAGTTTTTTCTAAGGAGTCCATACATTTTACAAAGTTTATGTTCCGGTGTATGTACCAGATAGGTAGGGGTTTTCCGGTTTTGGGATAAATGCGAGGGTTTCTGTTTCTGGAGTAAAAATTGGATTGGATTCCGTGTGGCGTAAGGGGCTTGCGTCTTCCTCAAAGCAGTGTTGAAAAATTCCAAACTTATTTTTGAGTGGTATATCGGTTTGTATGTTCATACTTACTTTGTCAGGAGTCTGTATGACGAGTGATGGTAGGGAATTAGATAGTGAAGTGGATTTTTTTTTAGTTTTTGTGTATGGGTTTGCTGCACTCCTGTCTTTTCGTCTGGTCTGATGTCCGGAGCACGATTGCATTTGAGACGCCAGTGTGTGGCTGTGAATGTTCTAAGTGGTATTGTTTGCCTGTGTGTAGTTTTCTGTTGTTTCGTTGGTTGTGGCTTTTTGGTCGTTATTTGACTAAAGAACGCCTTCTGAGACTGTAAGGTTTTTCCTCTTTCTCTAATGTAACGTTTGTTTCAAAGACTGACACTCGAAATTGGGAGTTGAATGACTAATATTCGATATCGAGACTGCGGAGAAGTATCTTTTCGGCCGCTGTCGCCGATGTTCGTCAGTGTTCGTCACAATCGCTGCTTACGTAGCTCCGAGGACACGCGCATCTGCCAGCCGATGTTCTCAAATGCTCGCTGTCGCTCTTCAAAGTTCGGCACTTTTCGGCATTTTTCGCCGTCTTTTGATAGAGCTTCGGGTTGAAAATTGTACGAAATTAATGTTTGAGTAGATCTGAGACATTCGATTATATTTATCAATAAATTTAATGCTTTGTACAGTTTAATAATTGTAGTTATTATTGTAGTTATTTTAAATATTAGTGATGGAAATGAAGGTATTGAGGAAATTTTGAGACAAGAATGTACTTCAAAGAATTTTTACACTAAATACATTTTATTTTATTGCAACGATTACTGATTTGTGGGGTATTATTGAACAATCTGTCAGTTGTTTTCGTGTATAAATTTTTGTTAAATGCAAGCAGATAGAAATGAAGATACAAAGTAATTTTAAGGTATACCTGTTTCGAAGAATTTTCACAGTACATATTTTTCATTTTATTACAACAATTGCTTTTTCCTAGAGATATTTGATACCGATGCATCGTGATAAATATCTATAAGAAATTACGTGTATATAGAAAAATTTAATATTGAGATAAAAAAAGAAAAAAAGAACTCGTTTTTGTTTATTTATTTGTGTTTATTTATACTCTGTTGATAATGTTGTAAGTGACACGGGAATGGTAACGGAGTCACGGTAAGTAAGTAAGTAGGTATCTAAATTACCCCACGAGACGTAACTCTCCCGTTGGTGGGCAAAAATTTACATTGCATGTCCAGTCTACCCTATATCTCGTGAGTGATATAATTTATGTATTTATAGTAATGTAAATTTATTTGCTTTCTCCTTATCAACATCTTATCTCCTTATCAATAGATAAGGAAACCTTTCGTTGTATGAATTAGTCTTTTGGTGGTGCTTAGCAAATTAGCCATGGAAGGCAATACTTCTGAAGTCTCTGTCAATGATAATGTATTAAATACAAATAGGCCTTGTAAATCATGCGTCAAAGAAATATCTAATGCAGAACTATTAACTCTTTTAATGAAATGTGTAAATTTTGCAGCAATAAAACATAAAAATCAAAAAAGGAAAGATGCTGAAGGAACACCATATATAAATCATCCTATAGGTTTGTAACCTTCTGATTTATTTTACTACAAATTATAAAAAATAAAATATAGAAAAATACGGTACTAATTTTTAAATCATTTAATACTCCTTTAGGTGTTGCAAACATTTTGATTCAAGAAGGTAACATTCATGATCCAGCTGTAATTTTGGCAGGTCTTTTACATGACACTGTAGAAGATACAGATACTACATTCGAACAAATAGAAAGTGAATTTGGTATAGAAGTGTGCAATATTGTTAAAGAAGTAACAGATGATAAAAACTTACCAAAAGCAGAACGTAAAAGGCTACAAATACAAAATGCTCCCAAGTGCAGTTACAAAGCTAAGTTAGTTAAATTAGCAGATAAATTATATAATTTGAGAGATCTTGAAAAATCTACTCCAATTGATTGGACACCAGAAAGGGTAAAAGAATATTTTAAGGTAATTTGTATAAAATAAAAGAAGATGTCAATTTATTGATATTTATATTAACTGTTTGAGTGTCACATGTTATAATGCATTGAACTGTTTGGCATATTTTCATTAAATTTTCAAAATCACTCTTAACATTCAAACAATTAATATAAATGTTAAGTCTATTAAACAAATTTCTATCAAACATTAATTACAGTGGTCCAAAGCTGTAATAGATGGATGTCGTAACACTAATTTTAATCTAGAAAGAGAATTAGATTTAATATATGCAAATTGGGTAGCTAAGGAAAGAGAAATATGTGGATGTAAAAAAATTGCCCCATCAAATTGCCATTGATTTATGAATTAAAGATTTATTAGAAAAGATCTTTTTTTTAATTGTAAATGATTTAATATTATTTTATACTTAATAATACAATGAATATTGATATTAATATCAAATTTCCTGTCATTTGTACAAATGAAAAAGCAAGTATATAAAATATATAAATGATTCCATATAAAGCTTGTAAAAATATGATATACTTAATTCATATGTACAGATAATTATTTTGAAATAACATTTTTAATATGCTGTACTAAAATTTACCTAATCTTTATTGTAATGCTCTTGGAAGAATAACTTCATATATTTTATAAGTTCATCTACCTCTTCTATAGTAATAGCATTGTACAAAGATACTCGAATCCCACCTACAGATCTGTAATTGGTAATAAAAAATATAATTCATTAACTAATTAATACTTCAAACTGGAATATTAATGGCACTGATCATTGCACAGACTATTTTACAAGTTATACTAACCTGTGACCTTTCAGTTGAAGCATTCCGCGTGTGCTTGCGCCATTAAGGAATTTTTTCTCAAGCACCTCATCATTTTCGCCTATTCTAAATGCTACATTCATCCTACTTCTTACGTCAGACTTAACCGGGCAGGAATAGAATCCTTTAGATTCATTAATCATCTCATATATTCTCTGACTTTTCATTATTGCCAGTTTTTCCATCCCTTCAACACCTCCATGTTCTTTGATCCATTTGAATGTCAATCCAACTGTATATACTCTAATCAAGTAAAATTGATTCTTATTATTACTCAAATGAGATATTGATAACTTTAAAGGAGTGTGTAATATCATGTTGTACAAACATTCTAAAAATTCCACATTTTATTACATATATTTATTGATGCTTACTGAAATACTGGCGGTGTATTGTGCAATGAGTTATCAGCTGCCATAACGGTGAAATCTAGCACCGTTGGACAGACCTTCATGGCATGACCAAGAACGTCTGATCGTACTATCACGACCGTTACACCAGCCGGCCCAAAATTTTTTTGAGCACATGCAAATATTACTGCAAACTAAGCAATATGTTATTAGAATCTTTTTATCGACGAACCTCTCTTGTTCAAGCGACATCACATTAAATGTTACATACTTTTGAGATATCTAACGATCTCGTTAAGATATTTGATGACATATCGGCAACAAGAGGAACTCCGTTTGTCTCAGGAATATAATTGAATTCAATTCCTTAAACAATTACTTTACCATGATTAAATTATTGATTTAATGTACTATGTTAAATTTTATTACAATGTGTTTACCATGAATCGTCTCGTTGGCGCAATAATAGACATATGATGCATTAGGGTCCAAGTTCCAAGTAGATGGATCCGGAATCTCGACGTATTTTGTTGTTTTTGGTAAAACTAAATTTACCTTACCATATTTTCCCGCTTCTTTCGCTGCCTTGGCCGACCATGACCCTTAAAGAATGTTTGATATAGTACTTCTTAACGATACAGTTTTATTTTTTAATAAAAGAAATGAATTAGAGGATATTTAGTATGATGTACTTAGATTTTACCAGTCACTATGTAGTCTGCAGTACCGGTAGTCATCATGTTTAGAGGAATGGCGGCAAATTGTCCTACAC